GGCATTGAATCATTTCTTAAAAAAACCTTGTGAGGTGCTGCATCATACTGGGAACCCATCTGTCATGCCAAAAACTGACTCTAGTGCCTCTGCCAATTCTGCAAATGCGTCTATCCTTGACCAGATCGATGTATTTCACAATTTGTGTCCAAGGACATTTGAATCGCTGTGGTTTAATCAAGGGCCAAAAATCAACAGTTGATTTCCAGTATTTTGCATTGGTGAGTCTTTTCCATAGCACGTTTTCTTCAGTAATATATCTCCAAATCCATTTAGCCAAAAGTTTTTTTTTTTTTTTTAACAAGAAACAAACTTTTCATTGATAAATGAAAAGGAACAAAAATTGTTCAAAGATACAAACCCCCAAAAGAGTGAAATGAAGGGGGAGGAAGAAGAAAAAAGAAAAATAAAAATAAAGATACAAACAAATCAAACTTAGTACAAAGAATGAAAGGAAGCTTAAAAATTATACAAAAAAGCCTCCCAATTAGAACAAATCATGCTAGGAGAATAATTTGCATAGAGATTGGAGAGAGCACACCATTGTGAGGCTTTAAACTTAGCTATACTGAAGCATTCGAAAGCTGAGCGGCTTTTCCCTTCGAAAGTCCTTTGATTACGCTCAAATCACAACTCGGAAATAAGTGCTTTAAGACTGTTTACCTAAAGAAGACTTGCTTTAGGAGAAAAGAAAGGACCAAATAGCAGCTGAAAAGTTGATGAAGATACTGACTTGTCCTTTACCCAAGCTAAATTGAACATATGAAAGCAGAGATCCCAACAAACTGATGCATGAGGACAAAAGAGGAACAAATGCACTTGGTCTTCGCAATTGACAGCACACAAAACACGTATAAAAGGATGAAGGAGCATGTTAGGCAGCTTCTTTTGGAGAGTTTCTTTGATTTGATTTGGCCAAATAAGAAATATGAATCTACTCGAGCAGGACATCTTGAGAGTGTTTTTAAGGGTGAAATGAAAACTGAAGAAAAAGCTGTGATAGATGAAAGTGAAACTGTGGCCAAATAAGAAATATGAATCTACTGGAGCAGGACATCTTGAGAGTGTTTTTAAGGGTGAAATGAAAACTGTAGAAAAAGCTGTGATAGATGAAAGTGAAACTGAAACATTGGTTAGTCTAGAAATACAATTGCAGAAATGAAGGTTGCACTGAGAGCCAGTTTTTCCTATATCAACTGATGTTTACTAGGGTTAATTCCAAGATTTTATTTGAAGGAAAGATGTTGGTTTGGCACCTTATACTGTATTGCAAATTCTATTTCACATTACCTTGCTGCTATTTAAGGTTTTTTTCCCCTCTCCATCGAGTCCATCCTTTAAGGTGAATAATGATGGCTCACAGAAATTGAGAATGAAATAATTATTTGGATAGAAATTAAAAACCTCTAAGAATTACTAAGAATGAAATTGAGAATGGCTCACACAAAATGAAGTGTCGGTGCTTCTTAGCTTGTGTGCTTGGATATTTGCACAAGGCTCAACAAGTGGAGATCAATATTAAATGGGGAGGAAATGACAACATAGGGTTTTGACCACATGACCTCCTACTCCGATACGATCTTAAACGTGATTAAATCTCTAATATGAGCTGATGGGTGRTGGTATATTTAATCATTTATAGGATATCTAATATTTTGAATGCCTTTATACTCTTTTCTCTTTTCTTTCCTTGCTTCTTCTAGGAGTTTGTATCTTTGAACATTTTGTTTTTTTTCATTATTTCAATGAAAGGTTTTGTTTCTTGTAAAAAAAAAAAATGAAAAAAATATTCCAAACATTAGGACTAAAACATATATTTAGCCTTGTTACCATTATTTGTCTTCATCATCAGTTCCTTCTTACATGTGGCTAATTTAAGTTGGTTATGAATTGCAGGGATCTTCTTCACAAGCCCATAGTGCTCTGTGAGTATAGTTAGATGCTGACCCTAAATGTTTATGGGAGGTGCCATCTTTTTGTTAACTTTTGGTTTCTTTCTGTTCCAGCTTGTGGTCATATTTCATGTTTTTGGTGTGTGCACAAATCCATGAGTGGTTTTCGTGAGTCCCACTGTCCAATTTGTAGGCATCCATATTATCATTTTCCAACCATCTGTGAGATGCTTCACCTGTTGATCCTGAAGATTTTTCCCGTGGCATATAAGAAAAGGGAAAATCAAATACTAGGTGAGCTTTATATTGTATGCTGTATTTACAAGTTCAAGCATTTATTCATCAAACATGTTGCCTTACGTGATCTTATACATAACAGAAAGCGTGAACTAATGTCATGATTTCCAATTGGTGAATTATACATGCTCTTATACATAAYAGAAAGCGTGAACTAATGTCATGATTTGCAATTGGTGAATTATACATGCTCTTATATCCTTTATCATATTCGAGATGAAGTGAAATGGTTTTCAGAGTGCAAAAATGAATCATAATTGGTGAAGAGGCTCTATTTGCTCTATGGAGGGCATGAATCAATGCTGACTCAAACGACTGATTTAGTTTCTTGGAAGATGGAAACAAGATCATACAMTTTTTTTATTTTTTATTTTTTTTAGATAAGAAACCCAACTTTCATGGAGAAAAATGGAAAAATATACAAGGGCATAAAAAACAGTCTGACCAGAGAATAATCTCTACAGAATGGGTCTCCAGTCCAAAAGAAAAACACCTAATTGATAATTACAAAAACTCTTAGAAACTGATCCCCACAAGGAAGTATTAAACCTAATAAAACTCCCAAMCATATTCCCTGGATCTCTCCACCCCTAGAAATTCTATTGTTCCTCTCCAACCAAATTCTCCACACATTAGCAAGGAAACAAGCTTGCCACAAGAAGCTACCACTATCTTGAAAGGGGTACAATAATACCTCCTCCATCATTGCCTGACAATCCCTATTATGAGCCAACACCTCGAAGTAATAATAAAAAAAGATCCCATAAATCCCGTGCAAACTAACAGGACCATAGAATGTGATCTAGATCTTTCGAAGCTCCTYTGCAAATTATACACCACTATAAGGGATCTTACGTGGGTTTATAATGGACATGAGCTACTCCTCTCCTTGCCAATTGGTTTTGAGATGGAACCCCATGAATATTAATAGAGATATTTTAGTTTTCTCGTCTTTTCTTTATGGAAGGAGGTTTCAGATTCTTTACTTATTTGTTCTGGCGGTCAGTTTGTGTTAAGCGTTTGTTTTGGTATCCTCAGTAGGCAGTCTTTTCCTCCTCAGATCTTGTCTATTACTTTGTATTTTGGTTTCCATGTTTGGTTGTTTTTCTTCATTTTTTCGCTTTCTTTGGGAGCTTGTATGGTTAAACTTTTTTCTTCCTTTTCATATTATGAATGAAAAGTTTGTTTCTYGTTAAAAAAAAACTAAGAAATGATAATGATCTTTTATGTTTTTTTAGCAAATGAATAATTATTCATTGTTGATTTTTATTTGAGTTTTTTTGGTTGACTTATTCTAACCTTTTAGTTTGTTTAATCCATTTAAAATTATTCCATTTCCAGAAGAGGAAAAGATAATGGGCTACTTCTCTCCGCAATTTGATGCCCTTGCATGTGACTCACAAGCTGGTAAAAAAGTGGAACATTCAGAAGATTCTGCTAATGGCGAGCTGAAGACAAATACCAATAATGACAAAGTTGTTGCTGAACGCATATTAGAAGAAAATTCTGCAGTTGTCGGTCCTTATGGTCAAAAGACGCAAAACCATGAGAAGGTTTCAGTTGCTGACTTGCTATGTCGTGCATGCACCCAATTGCTCTTCCGACCTGTGGTTCTTAATTGTGGCCATGGTATATATAATCTCTCTCTATCTCTGTGTCGGGTTGCATGCTATTTTATCGTCAACTATAATGAAAGTTAATCTATAAGTTTGGTTTTCGAATTTTCAGAGTTGGGTCTATTTAGTCCTTTTATTTGATAGGCCCTTGAACTTTTAAGGTTGTGTATATCAGAACTTTGTACGTTAATTTTGAACTATCAAATTTGCCTAGCCGTTACTTTAACATTTAAATGACAGGGTTGCTATCTATCTATATCTATAATGTACTAACAAGCTACTATCTTTGAAAAAAAATTATTTGGATCATTTTGTCCTCCTATAAAATTTTGTGTTCACAAAATATGGCACTTACAATTAATTACCAATTATTGGTAAATTATAAATTTAATTGTTAGAATTTGAAAAGTTTTTTCTTTATCTTTTTTTTTTCTTTAAAATTTATAAGAAAGATAAAAAAAAGTGTATTGAAAGAGGGAAAACACCCAAAAGGAGACCGCCTAAAGGCAGAGGGTAGATAAAACCCTCCCCTAAGAACTATACAATCAAAGCTTTCCAATTTTGTAGAATAAGTTGGAGGCTATAATTACAAAAAAAACTTCTTGTGGGAAATAATCCACCACGAAGCAACATGTTTTATATTCACACAAAAAGAATCCACCAAGGTCGAAATGTTCTAAAAAATACGGCTATTCCTCTCTTTCCATAAAAGCCAAAGAAGAGCTCGAGCAGCACAATTCCATAAATCACTAGCTTTTCCTTTGAGCATAGATCCCCCAAAAACCTCGGTGATAAAACATTCAATTCTCCTAGGAAGACAGAAGGAAAGATCCAGTTGAGAAACAATAAAAGACCAAGCTTTTGTAGCATAGGAATAGGAATAGTGATGGAAGAGATGGTCCACCACTTCTTCATCCCTTAAACACATGCCACAGATCGAAGGGGAGAGAACCCATGTAGGACATCTCCTGTGCAACTTATCTGCCGTATTAAGACTTCTGTAAAAAAGGTTCCAAAGGAAAAACTTAACTTTCTTTGGAACTTTGAAATGCCGAATATGATTTGCCATGGCCGAGCTTAATTTAGGAGAAGGACAAGTCAGGGCCAAAAACATGGATCTTACCAACAACATCCCAGAATTATCTGCTTTCCACCACAACCTGTCTCTGCCTTGCCCAATGACCACCCCTGCAATCTTTTCGGAAAAAATCCCCCATCTGTAAATCTCCCTTTAAAAAAGATTCCTTCTAAAACCCAAATCCCAGGTTGAAGAATCAGTCGACCAACACTCTGCTATTGAAGAACTCTAAAGTGTGTAGATGTCCGGAAAGGAGGCTGCAAGGGGAACACTATCAATCCAAGAATCGTCCCCAAAATGCACAGAACTTCCAGAAGAGACTTTGAAGAAGGAGAGCTTAGTGAAGTCCCTGCACAATCCTTGAATATCAATCCAAGGTCTCCCAACAGAAGAACCTTTAGCAAGCTTAGGCAACCAGCCARAGGGCTCCTCTCCATAAATAGCTGCTATGACTTTACCCCAAAAACTCTCTCCGTCGTAAATCGCCAAAGCCATTTTATCAGTAAAGCCTTATTCCTCTCAGCCAACGAACCGATGCCAAGACCTCCCTTTTCGTGTGGAAGAGCTGCCCAAGTTTTTTCTATATCTCAAATGACGGAATTTCAAAAGTTTTGTTACTTTTTCATCATCTACAATTATCAAACGGCCGCCCCCGTGGGAAAATTTTCGCCAAAAGAGGTTTAAGACAAGGAGATCCTCTCTCCGCTTTCCTTTTTACTTTAGTTGGTGATTATTTTAGAATAATGGTCCATTTTTGCAGTAAAAAAAGGCTGATTAAAGGTTTTGGCGTTGGTAGACAGGAGGTGGAAGTCTCTCATTTACAATATGCCGATGACACAATGATTTTGTGCCCAAACGAGCYAGGCAAGTTGGATAMTTGGTGGATGATCTTAGATATTTTCCTCAATGCGTCGGGGCTGTCTCTGAATTTAACAAAAACTGCCATTATAGGTATCCATGTCTAAGAGTATTTGCTCCAAGAAAAGGCTACGAGACTGGGTTGCAAAGTGGAAAGGCTCCCTTTTTCTTATTTGGGAATCCCTTTGGGGGGCAACTATAAGAAAAAAGTTTTTCGGGATCCCCTGATTGACAAAGTTGAACAGAAGATCGATAAATGGAAGAACCTTTTCCTCTCAAAAGGTGGTAAACTTACTCTTGCACAATCTGTGATCACAAGTCTTCCCCTCTACTTCTCGGTTTTAAAAGCTCCTTCGAAGGCTGTTAATGAAATTGAGAAGCTGACTCGAGATTTCTTTTGGAAAGGGGGAGGAAATAGTGGCCCTACTCACCTTGTGAGTTGGGAGAAGACTGCACTTCCAATGCAATTTGGAGGTCTCAAAATAGGGGCTCTTCACCAGAAAAACAATAGTTTACTTCTGATGGCTTTGGAGATTCACACAAGAAAGTAATGCGTTATGGAGGAAGGTGATTGTTAGTATCTATGGGGAAGATTCTCATGGGTGGAATACCCTTCCCCCAAAAGGCTGTCCCAAAGGAAGACCGTGGTTCAACATTTTTAAAAACAGCTCTTTTTTCTCCAAATTTCTTGCATTCAAGGTGAGTAAAGGGAGCCGGATCAAATTTTGGTCAGACACTTGGATTGGGAATGAACCTCTACAGAAAATGTTCCCAATTATGTTCAATCTTTCTACTAAGAAGGAGGCAACAGTCTTGGATTGCTGGAACGTACACGAGAATGATTGGGCTCTTGGTCTGCGTAGAGGCCTTTTCGATTGGGAGGTCGAAAGTTGGATGGGGATGATACAAGTTATCGACGTGGTGAGATTGGGGGAGGGAGAAGATCGGGTCGTGTGGTCCCTTGAAGGAAAATGTCGGTTTTCTGAAGATGGTGGAATGTAGATCTTTTTTACGATCTCCCCTCATCTCGGCTATATGGTTCAAGCCCGAAGAAGATCAAAATTTTTCTTTGGTCTCTTGCTCATAGAAGCCTTAACACCCAAGAGAAATTACAGAGAAAGTGCAAAAATTGGGTGTTATCCCCATCGGTGTGTTCCCTTTGTCTGATGCATAGTGAAGATTTAGACCATTTGTTTCTTCACTGTCCTTTTGCGACCAAGAGTTGGCTTTTCCACTTAGAAACTTTTGATATCTCTATCTGCTTTCCAAAAAAGATTGATGATTGGATGAATGAGGTTCTATTTGGTTGGGATCTTCCTAAGAAAGACTACTTATGTTTGGAGATGTGCTTCAAGAGCTCTTCTTTGGAATTTTTAGCTTGAAAGGAATTCTCGCGTTTTTGAAGATAAGCCTTCTACTTTGGAGATTTTTTGTAGGACTGTAYAGCACACGGCCTCTTGGTGGTGTATCAATTACAGTAAATTCTTTTGTAACTACGACCTTTCCATGTTTATGCACAATTGGAATACGGTTGGTTAGATTGTTGTTCAGTTTTTGGTGGGGTTTTCTCTACCCTAGGCTTTAGTCTGTACCTTCTTTTTCAATACAAAAATGTTTCTTATCTAAAAAAAAATTATCAAAGGGGGTCTTCTTCCACCAATTTTTCACCAATAACTTGAGCTAATTTTTTTCCTTTATTTTTAGTTTCTCTTATTTCCTTACTTTTAAAGTCTCGAAAACAACTTAGGATGAAAACCCAACCTAATTAAGTAATAGTATCTATTAAATACAAAATTGAAAATTTAGGARCTTACTAGAATTATTTTAGAATGTTGAGATTAAACGGAAAAAGTTTAGGAACTATTAGAGGCTTTTTAGAATATAAAGATTAAATAAACACAAGCTTGGAAGTTCGAGGGCCRAAGGTATAATTTAACCTAAAATTTAAACTCTTTTTAAAGGAAGAGCAATTTCAACTTTAATACCATTCCCAAAATATCTTGACTTTAGTGCCAAAAGCAACTAAACTTATTAGGTAAGTTATAAGTTGATCCTTGAACTTTCAATGGTGTGTCTCATAGATCTCAAAACTTTTACTATTGTGCCTAATAGGTTTTTGGTATTTTAATTTTATATCTAATAAGTACATAACTTTCAATTTTGTATCTAAAGATCACTAACTTATTAGACACTTTTTAAAGTTCAGGGACCTATTAAACTCCAAAATTGAAAGTACAAGAATCTATTAAACTTAAACCCTTTTAAAAGTTTAGGCTTGTTCGACCAAACCGTAATTTAACTCTTATTTTTATGTTTACAGCACTTTGTGAGAGTTGTATCAACTTGCAAGTTGAGACACTCAAGTGTCAAGTTTGCGAATGTTTGCAACCAAGTGGATTTCCAAATGTCTGTCTAATGCTGGATCAGTTTTTGAAGGAACAATTTCCTGAAGAGTATAGCCTCAGAAGAGACTCTGTTCAGCTTAAACTAGCCAATATTTTTAAGCGTGAGAGTCCAACTTCTTGTACGTGTATCTACGCTTGCCTAATTTATCGTCTTTAGTGTTATGGCAGTTGTGATCCTGGAGTAATCTATTCCTTGTGCTTGTAGTGCTGTTCATTTCATTCTTATTTCCTTCTTTTTMTTTCTTAATTTCTAGTTCATATAGTTTTTGAACTTTTGTTTGTGCTTAATTTGTTTGGATTAGGAAGTTTAGCTGTCCAAACTATGTATTTGTTAGAGATGTTGTGGGAAAATTGCTTTGTGAATCATTTTGAACATCTTTGGACCTCAAGAAGTATGTTTGTATAGCTCGTTTTATCCAATGCATGCTAGACTCCGCAACACTGACTATTGCTTGCCCATATCTTAATAAAATTTTCTTATTGTAGCTCCATGTATATCTTTAACAACGACAATACTGCATTAACATGTTCATCTCAGGTCACGTCTGTTGTGTTTATACAATTTTCATCTAAACAATTGCTTGTGCACGTGCAGCATTTAGTAGACACTTGACTGAAGACCTTGTTTAATTTGATACTCTTATTCATTTTTATTTATTTATTTCCATTTTCAGAAATCATTGGACCATTTAGAATTTYTGGTTTTTCTGTAAAATCTTTGAAATGATGCAGTTTGCTTTGTTCGGTTTACCTGTGTTTTTAGGTCCATTTTATTGATAGAACTTAGAAGAGTTATTCAACTACTATTCATACCGTATTCATCTCTTTCCTATTGGTAGTTTCAGGAAACCATATTCTATACACATAAGAATTTGAAAATGTGGTGTTATTACAATTTTTTTTCTGCAATACTTTGGATTAGGTAGAAATGTACTTATAATGCTTGATGACATATGTGTGCTCAATAATGTAGTGAATTATTCATTGTGTCATTCCACTAATACAAAAATAGTCTGTGTATTATTATTTTGGTGTTGAGTTTGTTATTTGCTTTCAGGTTCCGATGAAAGGGGCAAGAAGGGTGAAGATCTTTCAAGATCGGGTGAAGTTGCTTCTAAAGTGCATTATGGAGCTGGATGCGATTCTTGTGGGGTAATTTCATTGTATTACCAACATTCCTCTCGTACTGTCTCCTGGATCTTTGTTGCTGAACTTATGAGTCAAACCACTGTTTTAAAAATGTTGCTTTTGGAGAAGCATGGTAAGGACGCCTCGCTTCTTTGAAGCAAGGTGTATTGAGGCACACACTTCTCTGTATGTTTGCACACATGTTCCAATGCACCTTGACTCATTCCTTTTTTTCTTTTCGTTTTTAATTATTTTTATACATAAATCAATCATACTTCTATAAAATGTTTAATTTTTCTCATTAATCTCTTAAAAACTGTCTAAGATTTATTTACATTTTTCAATTGTGCTTGTCACAACTAAAGTGCTTGAGCTTCGGAGCACTATTGTGCTTTAGTTTGCCTCACAATTTTAAATATATTGGTTTAAACGAAAATGTTTAATCCCATCCATCTTAAATGAGGCTGAGGACATTCTGTATGGAGACTTGCTGGTTTATTGTGCACAACTAAATTTTCTGACTGGGATTTACAACGTTTAGCAGTTGTCTGCCATTATTTGGAGATAAATAGACATTGAATTCCATTGATCAGGGACTCCTGGAAGGATTTCAAGTTGGAAATGATAGGATGTATATCTCTTCCCTTCAGTTTTTGGACGATACCATTTTATTTTGTGAGAAGGATTGAACCAAGATATAGATAACTTGTTTAGTATGTTGAAACTATTTGGATAGATCTCGGGCCTCAAAATTAATCAGGAAATATCCCTAACGTGTTTCATAAACATGGCAACAAGTGAAGTTACAAAGTTGGCTGATGAGTTGGGATGACTCAAAGTGAACTCCCTGTGTCTTGGATGAGCCATTGGAGGATAATCCCAAGAGGGTGGTGTGGGTGCTAAGAAAGCTTGGTAACTGGAAAATTTTTCGGCTATAAATGTTGGTCAATCTTACTCTTAACTAAAACAGCCTTACCTACCAACATGAGCATAGTTCAGTGGTTAAGAYATCTTGCTTCATCCCTAGAGATCGGAGGTACAATCTCCCATCCCCACATTTGTTGTACTATAAAAAGCAAGCAGCCATAGCTAACTTACATACCTAAAGAAAGAAGATAAGGAAACAGTTGAAGCCATATTGCTAAACTGAGGCATGTTATTGGAAATTCTCCATCCATCTGTTGGTAATGGAACATCGATTATTTTTGGCAAGATAGATGGGTCGGACCCAACCTTTGATGAGTGGAGTTGGATTCTTTTGAAATTACCCCTTTAGAAAATTGTACGGTCATCAAAGTGTGTGAGGACGCAAGTTGGGTAGAATCTGATGGCTAGAAGCCTAGAAGAAAACGACAGAATGGGAAGCTGAATGATTTTGAAGGTATTCTAGAACTCCTAAGTGGTGTACGGTTGAACTGGGGGATGGTAGGAGAACTAGGAATCTTCACTCTTCAGGCCATTTCAGTTGAATCATTCTTTCCTAAACTGGTTGGTAAAAAAGTCAGTTTGCATGAGGAGGTCGCTTCAGCTTTATGGAAAGCCAAGGTGTCTAAGCAAAGTAAAACTTCTTTTCTTGGACTGTTTGTAATGGAGTGATTAATATGTTAAGTATCCAAGATTGTATTCAAATATGGAAATAACAAACTTGGTGAAAATCACCATACAAAATTCTCAGCCGCTCGAGATGGCTTTAACTCTCCTCATTCTTGGTCCTTACCCAAAATGATAACTACCCTCCCTATTCACGTTCCCTCTCTATGTAACATAGGCGAACTYGCTACTAGTTGTACTTCTTCCTTTTTTACCCCTCCTAGTATAAACGTTACTCACATTAGCTCGGCTTTGTAAAGAAAATTAGGAGCCAGCTAGGTTGTCCCTTGTTTCTTTCTCCTCCTCCCACCCYTGTTTCTTTCTCCTCCTCCCACCCTTTGAAATGTTGCATTTTTTCACCTATGGATTTTCAGTTGCTCTTTAAAAAATGTTGTGGATGAGTGTAATGAAATCTTTACTTGGGGTCTTTGGCTTGGAGGTAACAATAGACGTTTTAATGAAAAGGAAAGAGGATGCAAGTTTTTGACTTGACTAGTTTCATCGTGTTGCTTAGTGTTGACTTCAAATTCATTTTGTTGGTCTTCTTTTGTTAATGACTCAAATTGGAGTGTCTTTTTGCAAACTCGTGTTGGGACGACTTTGTTTCTGGTCTGTCTATCATTTCAATGAAAAATTAAAAAGAAAAGTTCTCTTATTCATTATGCCTAATAAAATAGTTGCTTTTTATACTCTGCCAACTTGATGAATATATTTATATATAGTGTTGAACAGGAAGTCTCATGTAACCCCATAGCTAATATGCCTGACAAAAATGGGTCTTGATATTTAAACTACTTTACAGTTCAGAATTTCATTGCCAAATTAGATCACTTGGCTAGTGAGTGATATTACTCTTATTGTTCACTGCAGATGTGTCCAATCGTTGGTGATAGATACAAGTGCAAGGATTGTTATGAGAAAATAGGTTTCGACCTCTGTGGCGATTGCTATAATACATGTTCGAAGCGTCCCGGTCGGTTCAATCAGCAACATAGACCAGAGCACAATTTTGAGCTTATAGGACCTAGTAATGTTATGTTTCCAAATTTGATGCTGGAGGTAGTGACAGGAATGTTAGAGGAAGGTCCTAATGACGACGGTTCAGAAACCTCAGAAGACATGGGTGGCGTTCTCGATTCATCTAGCGATGCTCATGAGAACGATGAGGTCGACTCTGATGCTAGAACCCGTGCTAACTCCAACGATAATAGAACGGATCAATTTGACTCTAATCCTACTTAAAATGTCGATCTTTAAGCTGGAAAATGACATTTTTTTCAGATGGAGTTCCACTCCGGTTTCTGGATGATCCATAAACTGAAATTTGTGTGTTTATTCCCAGGCCAAATCCAGAGAGAAGGCATAAAAATATTCGACATCTATGTACAGAAAAGGACCCCTCATCTCCTATTGAATATGTAGAGACAGTGRAGAGGGTGGTTTCTTGTTGAAAATATAACATTTCCTTTATCAAACTCTGAAAAGTGAGTTTTATTAACTCAAGTTTGCAGTGTTCTTGCATCAACACTTGTCTTCTAATTGATGCCATACTCTACATGCTTTTAAAGTTGTAGGTTCAAGTAATATGAAAGTTCTATATGGTTTTCTGGTTTTAATGTGATGGTTTTGATAACAATTCAACCCAAAAAAGAAAAAGAAGATTAGTACATTTTTTATTTTTTGAGTTTTTAGTTTTATATCTATTTTGTCACTAAATGATTTAATCTATGAATTTTGCAACATAGTTTCATTTAGTATTATTTGTTTGTCAGTAGTAGATAAGCAATTTAATATTTATATATATTGAAAATTTTCTAGTCCTATTAAAATTTCTAATACTACTACCATTCACGTTATGTCACGTGTAATCTTATTTTAGAAATAAAATAAAGTGAATCTTAAATTTTAAAATGAAAAAAGTCGACGTACTATTCTCCCTCGTACACTACATTCTTTCTCCTTCTTACCACTCTCTCCCCCTTAAAATATATTCTATCTGTTTTATTCTTATTTATACTTTCTAGAAAATGCATTTCATCTTTTTTTTTCCTTTCATTTCTTCATCTTCTATCATTTTTATTTAAATATTTTTACAACAATATCACATGATATTTTATTTTTATTTAGAAATTTATTTTAAAATAATTAAATRATTATTTTTCTTATAATGAATAGTATAATTTGATTTTATTGGTTAACCATTTTGATATGTTATTTTATTGTTAATTTGTTTKGTCCTATTTAATCAATATTGTAATTAAATTTTATTTGTTATTTATTTATATATATTCTTTTTTATTTGTAACTTTATTTTAAAATAATTAAATATTTTTTTAATTTAAAATATTATAATTAAATTTTATTTGTTGTCTATWTGCATCAAGAAATTGTAAGGATCATATTGTAAAAAATAAATTGTAAGCATCATATTATAAAAAAAAATCTAAAAATTAGATATTTTTTTAGTATAAAAAAATTAGAAATTTAACAAAACAGGGAGAAAAATCTACGAATAAAAATATTCAAATAAGAATACAGTGTCCACTTTATTTTATTGAAAGTATAAATAAGAATAGATGGGAGAGAATACGACTCATGTGCCGCTGAAAATCTCTTCAGCGACGTTATTAATTGACGGCGTCGCTGAAAGTGCATTTTCAGTGACATTTTATTGACGGCGTCGTTGAAAATGGATTTTCAGCAACATTCTGTTGATGGCGTTGTTGAAAATGCTTTCAGCGACAATGCCTGTGTCGCTGAAAATTGCTTTCAASGACATATAATTTATCACGTCGCTGAAAATGATATTTAGCGACGCCGTATATTGACAATATCGCTGAAAGCATATTTTAGTGACATTATTGCTAATATGTCACTAAAAGTATGTCGCTGAAAGCTCCATTTCTTGTAGTGGAGAGAGAATGGCAAGTGTGCTTTTTTCATTTTAAAATTACGTATGTTCACTTTATTTTATTTCTAAAATAAGATTACACATGACATAATGTGAATGAAATTAGTATGAAAACTTCTTTCCCACGAGGTAGAACTAGAAATTTTCCATATATAAATTATAAAGTCAATGTAGAACTTGCTTACAACCTTAATGAGACTTGGAGATTACATGAACAAAACATTGGCATAAAGTCAATGTATAATCTTGGTATTTTTAAAATAGGAGATCGATAGCGAATAAAACATTGAAGAAAGATGTACCAAAAAAAAATGTCACAGGGAAGTCTCGAGTTGAAATTCAAACAAACAAGGTATGYTGTATATGAAGAACATATGTCTTCGTAGGTAAGCCACTAATTACTTTTCTTACGATCGAAGGTTCAATTTTCTACCTTTACATTGTTGTATTAAAAAAAATTAGAATTTCTTTAAAGATTCTTTTAACCAATTATGTACGAGCATAGCATTGGACTAACTAGTGAGAAAAATCGAATGCATGAGTAGAACCATCCTCACATTTGTTGTACTAAAAAAACAAGACAAAATTTGCGTAACACTTTATGGACAATTTAATTCCTAAATTTTAGTTTCTAACAATTTAATCATTATATTTTTAAATTGGTAACAATTTATCCCTTGTAATTTAAAGTTTGTAATAATTTAGTTTTAACCKGAAAACTTTTGAGAATTTGGGTTGAGTAACCTTCTTGCAAAAATGAATTTTGCCCTGCTTTGAAACTTATTATTATTGTTATTATTTTTACATTTTTGCTAAGTTATTTTTGTGTTAAATTACACATTGCCCTCTTCAAAGCTATATATTCTCACTATTCTCCAATCTTCTCTCCCCAATTCAAATTCTTTTATTTTTTTCATTTTTTTTCTTTTATCTGTTCTTCTTCCCCCAATTCAAAGCTACTTTGAAATTTATTTTTGCGCTATAGCGACGAAACTTCCTTTCGTTGTAATGTAGGTGATGCGAATGCCTTTTGTCGTAAAATATTTTGTTGCTGAAAGTTATAATTTTTATARAGTGGTGCATGGATGACAACCAGCCATATGCAATGAACTGCACAATAGAGCATGATACAAGTTTGGATTCATGGTGTATGGCCTAGACTCCAAGGGTCAAATTGGACCTTGTTCTGGCCCTTCTTTTGACCCCTCAAGATATATCTACATGTAACTAAACTTTAGACAGTATCTAATAAATCTTTGAATTGAATTTTAAATTTCTGTCTAATAGATAACCATGAATTTTTCAATTTTGTGTTTAAGAATCTTTTGACATATTCGAAGTTTTAAGAAATCGATCAACCTATTGAAAAAGAATTGAAAGTTTAAGATTTCGATCATTGATGACTTATTAGATACAAAATATTGAAAGTTTAAGAACCTACCAAACACTTTAAAGTTTATAAACGTATTAGGTACACAATTAAAGTTTAATGACCACAACGTATAATGTCAAAGACCAAACTTTTAATTTAACCTTAAATTAAGATTAACCTATATGTTGTTAAACTGATGAGAACATTCAGAACCGAAACCGATTTTTGAAATAAAAAAATTCAAAACCAAACAGAATCGAAATACATAGCAGAACCGAACCGGTTCGGTTCGATTTAGTTCTTGGCAGCTTGGGCACTGAGTCTGCTTCTGTGGGCCTGTGCTTCTGGGTTTATGGGCTTGGATTTCCAATTTATTTATAGCAGCGACGGTCTGGCGAACGGCAACTACGGTCCGACGAAGGCAGCAGTGTGGATGGATGATGCCAAGTTGAGAAAGAAAAGTTTGGAAAAAAACGGAAGAGGAAGAGAATGGAAGATGAAAGGAGGAAGATAATGGAAGACGAAAAAGAAAAGTTGGGAAAAAAATGGAACAAGAAGAGACTAGAGGAAGGGAATGGAAGATGAAAGGAGGAAGAGAATGGAAGAAGTTTCAAAACCTTAATTTATATTTTTATTTTGTAAAAATATAAAATTAATAAAATATTGTTAATTTTATATAAAAATAAAGAAACAGAGAAAAAAAAATTTGAATGTTTCAATTTGAAAGTTTAAACTTAAATTGTGAAAAGGATTGAAAAACTATTAAAAAATAATAATAATAGCAAGGTGGGCGGACTATTATTGGGCAATGTGCACTGCTGCCACTGCCAGTCCATCAAACCTGCTGCTGTCGGCCTTGTCGTCGCAGACTGCAGTGAGGTTTGTAATTTTATTTATTTATGTTATTGATATTAACATATATATATTATGAAATAAAATTATAGGTAATCGGTTCGATTTTTTAGGCGGTTTTGCTTTGGAAAGTTGAAATTGAATCGATTATTTCGGTTCTGCTTTTCTACTGAACCAAATCGAACCGCCAAACCAAAAATTCGGTTCAGTTTCGRTTCGGTTTTTTTGATTTCGTTGTGCACTCCTAGTGACARTGTTTCTTAATCCAAACAACGAACCTCGATTTTAGAGATCCAATATACTTTAGCATTTAAATTTTTAAAAATGGAYCTATTTTGACATTTTTTTATTACTCTATTATCAACATCATTTTGAACATGTTCGGTAATGTATTTACAGGAATATAAATTCAAGCCACATATATTATGTCATCCATGATGTTAAAACTAAAAATAACCGAACCATCACTTTTCCACAGCTTAAAAGCTACTTTGAAAATCAATGGACTAAAACCTGTGGAATAAATAATGACGTGGTTGKGTTGGATTGGATTGGATTTGATTTGCTTAGATCATTTCATTGCAAGACCGAATGGGCGAATACTGGCAGGACCTAGTCAGCGGAGACAACACCGCGGCTTGGCAGACCAAATGGGCAATCCACGGGACTTGCTCGGCCACGGTGTTTGACGAGTTCAAGTACTTCTGCATGGGTTTGGATACGTATGGCCGCCATGCTATCCTATCATTTCTGGTGCACGGCGGCCTGGTCCCGAGCTCTGCTCAACTGCACCACAAGACTAGCTTTATCAAAGCCATCGCGGACGTGACCTCGAAAAAGGGCGGCGTCATCTGTGCGGCCGACCAGCGGGGCCGAACACAGCTGAAGATGGTGGTTTTGTGTTATAGTAAAGATGGTGCAACAATGATCGACTGCCCTGATAATGTCAGTAGTTCCTGCCCTGATAAGTTCTTGTGGCTTGCCTTGGGTGATTGAGAAGTTGAAACTAAGGATAAAACTATTTTAATCTCATGTAATGAATAAATTTTTCTTCTGCCCATCAATACGTAGTAATGAGGCAGAGGGGAAGCTTTATGTGTATTTGTAGTAATAACTAAATATATGGTTTAGTAATTAAAWCCTACACCGTTTTGGTTTAAAATATTTCAATTTAGTCTTTTATGTTTTCACACTTTYCAATAATACTTTCAATATTGATAAATATTAAAATTGCCCAATAATAATATTTAAGTGAGTTAATGTATATAGTTAATTATGAGCGTAACTGAACKGTAAAAGAGACATTATTTACCCAGTATCTTACTGGGTTCAAATCTCTACATCTCTTTTGTTGAACTCGAAAAAAAAAAAAAGTAGAAATTTCGAATTTTTTTTCAGTGGCCTAACTTTCATTTAAATTTCTTCCAACTCGTTAAGTATCTATCAGGTTAGTTTATCTCTTGGATCATTTTGACGTTGACTAATGACGATATAGTTGAAAAATGTTACATTAAAACATATAAGACTTAAATAGAAATTGAAATTAAGCTATAAAGGGTAAACTGAAATAATGCATGAACRTAAGAGATTTATAACACATTTATTTAACCCATACTAATATATTTGATTGGAGTAGCATTTTTTACCATTCATAACTTTCATGGTAGACCAGTTTTGTGGTGGTATCTTGATTGATAAATACTTGATTAAATAGGAAGTTAGAGAAAACATTTCATATTATAGATTCAATTTTTCATATATGAAGAATATAGATTAGCAATTTTCTTGAGCAATAATTCAAAATTATTTAAAAACAAAATTCTCATATATACTATACACATGTAGTCAATTTTTGGGTCGTGAGCACCTNTAGCAATTTTCTTGAGCAATAATTCAAAATTATTTAAAAACAAAATTCTCATATATACTATACACATGTAGTCAATTTTTGGGTCGTGAGCACCTGTTTCTTTGAGAATTAATAACACTCAACCAACACCCAACCAACTAGATGTAAATTATGCCAAACAGAGCATAGCCCAAGTGGTTAAAAAAAAACAACAATGTAAATTATAGTGGTAAAATAGACTTTTGATTAATTAATTAACTAATAATATTGAATTATTTAATTAATCAAATATCATTGGAGCACATTGACTACATAGGTCAATTAGGTCCCTGTAAAAGGGATTATGAGGGAAGAAATTAAAGGATTAAAAAGAAGACAGTTTAGTTCGTACAATACCCTAACAAAAAAAAAATTATTTTACCTTATACGTTAAAGGTGAACCAAGGTGCAAGGTTGAGGTCAACGTTAACTTAGTTCAGAGCTAATTAGTACTTGTCTTGACCTTAACTCAACGTTAATCGGTACTTGTCTATTATCAAGAGGTCATAAGTTCGAATCTCCTCTCTCGTTTCTTGTACTAAAAAAAGTGCAAGGCTTAAAATATGAAGAGATGGAGCTAGTAGAATTAGGGCTAAGCAATAAGCGGAAACAATTCGTTCCGACAACTTCGAACCAGATTATATCGTTTCAAGCCGAACTGAATCGATTTTATTAAATATGTATATATAATTTTTATAGGTTTAGGTTTTCTTGGGAAAACCATATATGGTTTACGGTTTGTAGGGAAGAGCAGCATTGTCGTGTCACATTGCTGTCACCTCTTTCTTTCAATTTCACTTTTCTCTCTCTATCAATGTCAACTTTTCCCTCTCTCATCTCATCTCATCACTCTCACATCTCTCATTCAATTTCACCTTTCTCTCTCTTTCAATCTCAACATTTCCCATCTCTCGTCTAATCCCCGTGAGTTCTCTCCTTCAACTTTACCTTCTAAATTTCTGTCAAAATCTCACCTCTCTCGTTCCATGTTCTCTCAATCTCAAAAGTTCCCCGTTTGTCGCTTGTCGCCACAGTCCACCACCACTCATGGCATGGTATCGCTTTCGCCGTAGTTCGTTGCATGCCATCTTTGTAGTCGTCGGCGTCGCTGCCATTGTTTGTAACTGCCCGAAGCTCTCATCTCGTTCAAAGAACCATACCGTCGCCCTAAAAAATTTGCCGTCGTCTAGAGAAGCACGCCGATGTAGCCGCCAGCGTCGCCTGTTGCTGCTGTGTCTTGGAACCACCAAAACTTTCATTTCACGCACAGAAATTTCTCATCGCCCGCAAGAAGATGAAACCTGGTGACCCAACCCGATAATTTTGGGTTGGGTTGGGTTGAGTACTAAAATTGGTTGTGTCGGTTCGCTAGTCTAACCAACCCGAAAAATTGGGTTGGTCCAAAAATTCTCCTTAACCCGATCCAACCCAACCCGTGAACACTCCTAATCAACATCCATAAAACAAGTGAGTTTGATGAGAAGATCACATAAAATTAAGAAATCTCGAGTGTCATTG